AGAAAGTTTGAAGCTCCCAAAATAATGGAAAGGACCCACAAACTGACAAGGATGATATTATCAGATTTTTGGAAGTACTTAAATGTGCTAGGAACATGGTATGTATGTGAAACTTTGTTTATAATCATTAAGAGGCAGCCTTTTTTTTTTTTTATCCTATGGTTATTTTATTTTAGGTAGCTGTTGAGATAAGTTGTGAGCCTGGCATTAGGAAACATGTTCGTAGCCACATTTTTTACCATGCTGTGGTGTCAACTCGTCCTAGTGCTGATGAAGACATCACAATAAATTCTACCCATCAGTTTGCTAGGGTGAAGTGGCTGTAGGAGAAGCCTTTGTCTAAATTTGAGAATGTGCAATGGCTCCTTATACAGAAGGAAGAAGAGGAGAAAATCATTGAAGTTACTATTAAGCTGCCTGAAAAGTATCTTAATGAGTTAGTGGAGCTATTCAATGGGTAATATTGGTTTGGATGTGATCACTTCCAACCAAGTTATGTAATTTTGTGGTAGATGCATACTGATGGTACACAGGGCCTTTGCCATTCTATACCCAAATTTTATCTCTCAACGTGCAATATCAACATGAGGCCTTCCCTTCTGGTTCCTTAGTTATATTTCCTTCTATTGCAATTCTAGTTCTTAAAGTCGGTGTGGGTTCTTGGTGTGACAATCTTGGAATTTGGAATTTGGTAATATTTCCTTCTATTTCCTTCGTATCTTACTTTAACTCTTACAATTCATGATGAAGTATATGCCCACAAGGATACAGTTGCAGGTGGGAAACAACATAAGGACATCATTCGATTTGGGAAGACAAAAAATTGGAGAGGACACTTTCGACGATTTAGATGAGGTTAGTTACTCCCCTGATTTTTTAATTTTTCCATTTCATTATTGCTTAGGTTGGGGACCCTTATGTTGATCCCTTGGTTACACACTTAAAAGGTACCAAAGAAGTAGTTGATGAAATTTGAGGATGGGCAAAGGCGAGTATACTCTTTAGTTTTGGCATCTCCAATGAAATATCATGGCACATTTATATTAGGACACGTTATATTTATAAATTTTTATAAACTACATTACATATTTTCAAAAATATATTCTTAATCGAGTCTATTTCTGAAAATACAAAAATTTATAAACAGAATTTGTAAATATAATATTTTTCTTTAGGGCCTATTTGGTAGCAGGAATGTTTTGAATTGTCTCGAAAAATGACATTGGGTTTCTCAAAATGCTGTGTTTGGTATCAGCATATAAAAAAATATTCCCACAAAGTTTTTATCCCAGATTTGTTTGGCCTGTGTAAAATAGCATCCAACCTCCAAGATAAAAATTCCACAGATTTGTTGCCATTTTGGGTTTCCCGGGGAAAAGAAAAAAGAAGCGCGAACTTTGTTACCAAATTACCCGTGAGATTGCTACCAAGAGAACAATGGACTGTACTTTATCAATCTCACTTCCGAAAGAGTAGCTTCGTCTTTGCTTTGTGAAATCTAAAACTAAGAGAACAATGTTCGACGGTAGCCTGAATTAGTGTGTGTCCAATTATGGCGTCTCTGCCGACGAAGCCCAATACAATGTCTTCAAAACTGCGTCCTATTCTTCCCACTCCTTTCAAATATGATGACAGAACTCTTTTGAAAAACCATGGAACCCAACCTTAGGAGAAAAGATTTCTTCTAACTACAGTGGCTGAAGAAAACCCTGACCCAGATGCCTATTTCAACGTATAAATACATGTTTGAATACAAAAAATAGAAGTGGGGTTATTTTTTGTAAAATAATCCCACGTTCCGACAGTAATATTTCATTATCAACCAAACACAGATTCAGTAAACTTAATCAAATAATCCAAGAAAAATTTACACTTACCAAACAACTTTGTCGTAATATTCCAGTAAAATATATTTTCAACTACATCCCGATAATAATTATTTTTCAGATAAAAAAATTTCTCTTGTATCAAACGTCTCATTATATTAACTTACACATAAGAAGTACAAATCCACAACACGAGGACATTGGGCTTTACCCAAGAGGATTCAGGTTCCGGAAAAAAGATGTTCGAGGACATTGATGGGCTTGTGGATTATTTTAAGTCATATTAATTATCCCCAACATGATTTTAGCCCCTCCGTTAGATCTGGAAGATCAACCAAAGTGTCATTCTTTAAAAAAAAAAATTATCCTAATATCATATGAACAATATTTTTTACTAGATTGTTACGTGACGTAATTCGTTATAACTGATAGCAAATTACGTTCGTCAATAATTTTGTGACACGTGACACATTTTCGCATAAAAAAACTGACCGGAGGTAATTCGCTATTAGTGGTAACAAATTTGGTACACAATATGATTATGTGTCACGAAATTATTGGCAAACGTAATTCGCTACCATTCGTAGCGAATTACATTGTGTAACAGTCTGATAAAAAATACTATTCACGTAACATTTGGTTAAAAAATTTGTGAAAGAGTGACAGTTTGGTGAGTGCTCTTCCATCCTAGCTAAGGTACATTTGGTCTTGATTTCATCCTAGGTTTGCCGACATATCTGCATTTCGATTTTTTAAAATGTATGATTACGTACACCATCCACTGCCACCGCAACATATTCTTCACCTTCATAAGTTGCACGTCAAAATTTATTAATTTTTTTTTATTAATTCTGTTAAATATATCAACATGTTTACTTTTAAATAAATCAACAAATTTAGGCATTCAATAAACCAATAGCTTAATGGTAATATATATTTAATGCTTTATATATATATATATATATATGTCAAGAGAGGATTACTTCTATTAAGGGTGTCAAACGGGTCGACACGACACGAATTTGACACGATACAAATACATCAACACTAACACGACACAAATTTTTATTTGGGTCAAAATCTTCAACACTGACACGACACGAATAACACGCATAATAGGGTCAAAATGGTAATTGACAATTTTTTTTAAAAAATGGATCGATATTAAAAAAAATTAAAATAATAATAATAAAAAATTAAAAATAAAATAATTTAAAATAAATACGGATCGACACGAACAAGAATACATCAACATGAACACGACACGAATTTTTTTGCAGATCAACCCGAACACGAATTTTCGTGTCGTGTCGCGGGTCGACCCACATGTCAAAACCTATATTGACACCCCTAACTCTTATATTCATTTTTTAAGAGTATTAGTGACGAGGTAAATTATCATAAATTTACTTTAATTAATTATATTCAATTAATTATCAAAATGGTAACATCATCAATCAACAAAATGTTAATAACTCACCTAATTTGGTACGATATTCTTGTGGATACTATAACAACTCTCATAATATACACAGTATAAATCAATTGACCCGTAAAACTTTAAAATACTATTTTAGACGTATAAGATTTGACATATTTAATTAAATAAAATTTTCAAAAAGTATCAATTTAACTTGTTTATTTAAGATCAAGTCTGCTCTATTTTATATCTACAAACTACTAAGTAGTTAATTGCTGGTATTTAATATTTAGTGAATTATCACATGATTTATTTTTTTAGCAGTGTACTTTTATTTATTTTTCAATTTTGTTTTATTTTTTAATTGATTTTTTTTATAAAAAAAATCATATTAATTTTTAATTGATGTTTTTATTATTTAATCATGTGTTATTATATTATTAAATGAGCTTAATAATGATTATTATTTAGAATTTAAACTTTTTAATAATATGTTATCAATTATAATTTAATGATAGTATAAAAATTTTACAAATCTTTTTTAAGTGTAAATATATTAATTACATGCTTATAATTATATTTATTTTTTGAAAAAAATCAATTTTTTATATAAAGAACTCCCACTAAATCTTTTACTGTAAAATATTTTTTGTTAAATAAATCATTTCGAATGCACACTAATTTATTAAATAGCTAATCATACCAGCAAAATAAGTTTCTTGAAAAATACTCTATCACGAATAATTTGAACTTCTCATTTGACTAAAATGTTAAACCATGTTTTAATACAGACTATATTTATGGTACACAAGACATACAAACTACTATTTAGGATGGAAATGGATTATCTCATGTCGAAAAAAAACATGATATGGTCATGTGGGAAGATCATAATCATACAAAGATAAATCAATGGTTATGATTTCGTAACTATCTATTTTAATATTTTTTTCTCTGCTCCTTTATTATCATTGATCCATCTTTATATGGTTATGATTCCTCACATGACATGATCATGTGAATTTTCACATGAGAGGATCCAGATCCGTTATGGGGATTTGGTTCTCCCATTCTTATTTTTTTATTCCCATTAGAATCAATAATTTTATGAATATTTATTGTAACGTGGATGTGCAAAAATTAATACAGGAAATTATTTTATAATTTTGATTTGATTAAAGTTTAATTATTAGAAAGCTTATATATAACCAATATTTGGTTATGGAGAAACTTGTATTTGATTGGGTTTTGATTACTTAACCCTGAACTATAATATTCTTTTAGATGCGTCATGCAATACTCACATTTAATAATAAATTGCGTTGTTAAAGTTCTATTATCTCTTTAAGTTTTGTCCACTTATTTTTAACACTATTTAGGAATATATTTTTGTCTAATCAGCGAACATTTTGTCATCAAATATTGTAGATTAATATATTCTCTTCTACTCAATTTTTAACTTTTGCGAAATTATAGAAGAAACTATTGTTTCTCTGAGAACTTGTTGTCACGACTCACGACTTGAACTAACATGATGTCAAAAGCCCAAAATACCAAATATCGTTCATTTCTTATGTGACCAATTCATAATTTTGAATTAATAAAAACAAAATTATATACGCGAAAGTATGCATATCATGCATAGAGACGCTGGTCACTCGTCATGTTGCTGCAATGTGGGACCCCACAAGGCCACAACACTTGAGTGCCCCACAGTCTCAAGCACTCGCTGGCATTGCTGATTATGAAGTAAACGACACCGAGACTCTTCCTTTCCCTTCATTTCTTACACAAACCAATAAACGACATCGTTGATCCCACAACACAACACAACACAGACACATAGACACACCTTTCCCCTTCTCAATCTCCTTCTTCTTCTTCTTCCTCACGGTCACGCGCAGCAACTGCAACTTCAAAATAGAGAATTAGGGTTCGATTATTGGATCTTTGCTGTTATCAATTTCGATCTGTTTCAGCCAAAAGATTCAATCTTTAACGCAAACTCCACTCGGGGTTTCAACTTTCAAGTTTCAGTCTCTGATGTGATGTCTTCTTCAGCACCCCATTACAGCTCCCTCCCTTCACCCTCATCCTCCAACTCCACCGGCAAATTCTTCGCGTCACGCGCGAATGCAACCGCCTCGCAATCCGTGTTCGCCACGCGCCGCCCATGGGAGGAGGTTTTCGCCCTCTACTCATTCACGCGACCCTACTCCGTCGGCGAAGCCACCTTGCGCGTGAAGCGCAACCTCAACCACTTCCGCGTCAACTACGCCATGATCATCCTCTTCACCCTCTTCCTCAGCCTCCTATGGCACCCCATCTCCATCATCGTCTTCTTGGTCGCGCTCGTCGCCTGGTTCTTCCTCTACTTCTTCCGGAACGAACCGGTGGTGCTATTTAATCGCGCCGTCGACGACAGGGTGGCGGCGGCGGCGCTTGCGGCGGTGACCGTCGTGGCGTTGGTGCTCACCGGCGTGTGGCTGAACGTGTTGGTTTCGGTGCTCGTTGGGATTGCGGTTGTTGTGTTGCACGCGACGTTTAGGAGCACTGAAGATTTGTATATGGATGAACATGAGGCCTATGATGGAGGGTTGCTTTCGGTTGTTGGGGGTACCCCTACAAAGCGAACAGGGTACAACCTAATATAGGAGGTCATTTGTTTTTGTTTCTGTTCCCCAGTTTACATATTTATGGAAATATAACATGGTTTTTGAACAATTGGTTACAGGAAAAATGTTCATGCATTCTTGACAGGACTAGTTGTGAAACAAATGCTACTATAGTGGCTTATATACATACAACTTTTCTTTTCTTTGCAAGGACCGGGTTTTGATATGTTAATTCTTGGATCAATTGAAGGGTTCGATTTGTGTATTTTGAGTCCCAGTTTCTATGTATCGCTGGTTTGATTTTGATGTGCTTTTAAATAGAAAATGAATCCTCCCATTTAGCATTTGGACGACATCAAAATGTTATGTAAAAAATTTTATCTAATTTTTTTAAAATATTAAATGAGTCTTGATAAAAAAAAAAAATTATTTGTCTGTAAGAAGAGAGATAGAAACAAATTTTTTCATGCAATGGTTGATCCTGGGCAACTTTTTTATTTTATTTTAGTGGAAACGTATGTAGTTTTTGGTTGCACAGAGGAGTCAATGATTTTGATTGGGGCTTCATTGTGCCTATATAGTTCATTGTTCTCATTGTAATGGCTGTTTGCTATTCTGTCCTCCTGTTATTGTGCAAGATAAAACATATTTTCAGCTTACAAACGAAATTAATCTTGTCAATTTAGCCCCTCAAAAGTTAAGTTCTCAATAATTTATTCCTTTCATCCTTTTCAGTCCAGTTAGCACAAAGCTTGCATGATATGTGAATATTAACGGTTGATTTTTGAATATAGGGTCAGGATATTTACATATTTTAAGTTCGTGTTAAAATAGTCAATACCAGTTTCAGTATATAAATATAGGGGTTTGATTTTTTCATGTTGAATGAGAATTCAATTCTCATGTTGTAGAGATAAAAAGCATGTGAGACCCATGTGTTAGAAAAAATTATATGTAGGTCCCATGTTAGCATGAAAATCGAAGGGTGTGTAGGAAAATTTGAATTTTCATGTTGAATGAGAATTATAAAATCCATAAATATATGATACCATGTCACGAATGGATGGAGTACATAAACTGAAAATAAAAATTTTGTGGAATTAAATTAATAAAAAAGTTTTATTTTAATACTTTTGGATGTCCCAAAGCATGGGCAACTAAGAGCATATGTTACATAATGGCATGCCCCGCAATATTTGGAGTTTGCGTTGGAGGTAAAGCGTGTGCTTTTTAGGGTGGCCCAGCTTCTTGCTGTTTTGAGATGTGGTTTATTGAATAAGACCTGCATGTGTTACTCTCTGGAGATGCATAGCCTTTCCAGTCTCCCATGTGAGTAAAAGTGTTTAAAGTGCCAAACAATTGAACGAAGCAAAAACATAACCACGTAACGTCAATGCTTTTCAGTGGTGGAGTTTAGTGAAACCTCGGGAGTTTCGGGAACATGTGAATCTTAAAATCCCAAATATTTTGGATATTTAGATATAAAATATCTTATAACTCCATGTTTGCGAGAAATGAACCATAACATTGTACATTTATGGTTTTGAAATTATAAAAACTTCACTTTAAGTGCTTTTAGAATTATTGGGCTAATGTACCGTAAGAGTTTGATAATAATTGTCACTCTGTTGTCTGATGGTTAAATAAACAGATGCTTATGATCACATTTCACAAAGCAGTATACCACTTAAACTCTGTTCTTACCGTAGGGAATCCATGATTCCATGCGTTATATCCAGAAATAAATAAAATTGTCATGTTATTTAACTAGGCAAAAGTGTTTCTTGTGTAATGCAAGAGAAAGTTATCTCAACTCCAAAATGTAGTTTTGAGGGTTTAGGGAAAAGAAATACAGGATATTTTAGTCATTTTATTTTCCTTTTGTATTATGTAATATTATTAAAATACCCTAATTTTTTTTTCAAATCCTTAAAACTACGTCGTTTTAGATTGTGTGAGATAATTTTATTTCATAATGCACGTTCAAATTGAATGCAAATGCATGCCTAACTAGATGACAACTATACCAGCAAAACTTCGTCATATCAATCTAGCGGTTGTTTTAGCCTACGGGTTATTGAAAAAGTGATCCATCATTTATGTTGCAAATCTCTGAAAACAATGAAATCTTGTCCTTTTTTCCTTTTGAGCTTACAAAGGTTATTTATTTTAAGGGTTATATATATCTCATCATTAGACATGTTCAATTTTCTTTCAGGGTTACCAATCATTTATTATCAGATATTGCGAAGGAGCTGCAACGTATTCTTTATAAAAGTAATGATAGTGGTTTTTCTCCATTTTATCATCAATTTACCTTTATCTATTTATTTGATGCGGGTAATATAGATCCTGTAATATTCAGGTGTCCTCAACAGCCAAGCTACGACTTTCTGCTCCATTTGGAACATACAGATCTAACATATCAATAAACATGTAATCTTAAGAATGGAAGGATATGAAAGTTTTGATTCAGTGTTTGCATTTGTTGGCCTGCAGAAGTAATTCATATTGGAAACACAAGGAAAAGAATAAGAAAAAAAAAAAAAAAAATCCTTTTGATTCAAATGTCACATTCCGAATAAATCATCTCTTTCTAAGCAGGTATGGTGGCCTGTAGCTACTTTATATCTAAGTCACATGTGCACTAAAAACCATGGTTTTGAAAAATCAGGATGTAATTATCATTACAATGACCCATCAGATCAGGATGCTACACTAAAGGCAGAATGGTATGTTTTATGGAGAGGGAATTTCTTTATAATTTATTTGGCCTATCTTATCCTCCAAGATAGTGCAGCTTTTGGAAACACAGTGAAAGAACAACACATGTTGGGGAAGTGACTATGCTGTGATGATGATTTTCTAGGTGCATTAAAAATTATGGATGGGGAACCATGATCAAGGATGGTGAACCTTCCGAGCATAAGCCAAGACCATGACAAAATCCTTTGCTGAGGACCCAATAGTTGCTGGAATTCGCTGTGATGTGGATGCCGTATCCAGCCACAACTCAATCAAGTTATGGAGCCTCAGTGTAGGGAGCACTGGTTGTCCCATACATTTAATCTCAACCTGCAAAATAAATTGACTGAAGAGTGAGGCACCATGTAAAACTAGCATCAATCCTCAGTTTTGAAACATTAGAACCAATCAAAAGTAAAGTGCATTTATTACTCGGCTGCACAAAAAATCATGAAAAGGGTAATGTGATTCAAGGTTAATGCTATAAATTATGTACTATAAAAAAGGTGCAGAGCAGTTAAAGATGCTATAAAAGTGAACAAGACAATACAGTTATGTAATTCAAGGTTAGTGATATAACTTGGCTCGTACAGACACAGAAGAGGTTTAACAAAAATTATGCTTGTGGAAAACTGAACAAGACAATAAAATTTTCCGGGCCCAGTTATTCCCTAATATATATCAAGGGTTCGCTTTTTCTGCAGTTACTGCAGATAAGTTGTTTGCAGTAAACCCAATACGACGTCGTTTTGGGGCGGAAATAATGGTGTTTTTGTAATTTTAATTTATTTCAGGGTTATAATAGTAATAGTCTTTATATTTATAATTTTTTAAGATTTCAATATCAAAACGACGTCGTTTTGGGAATAAATGTAGATAACTTATCTGCATTAACTGCAGAAACATTTTTCCCAATATCAATGTCTTTTAGATATATTATCGAATGGAGAGTTACCTCTGTTTCACTGGTCAAATCTAGTTTCTTCATTAGGTATTTTTGGATAAATGAGACAGGTACGGTTCCATCCCTGTGGCAAACACGAGAAATTAGAAATCAAACAGGATATCATATTCTAGTTCAGTTAGATCTCTACATTTTAAGAAGCTTTAGCAGCAGCAAAGATTGAGTGAACTCTGAAGTTTAGATAATACACACACAAATACACATTCCTCCAATACCTTGGCTATGAAAAACTGAAAAGAAGTTTCTCAAAATCAACACAGAAAAAATTAAATTAATCTATAGAGAAATCATATGCTACATTTATTGATGGAAAAAAAAAGCATCTACGTATGATTGTGGATTTCTTGAAAGCATATGCATTGTTTAAAATCCAGAGTCTATCATTTACCCACACTCATGGCCCTTTTCCTTTTTTGAGATAGTTCTCTATTGAACTTCAGTTTTTCGATTTTACTTTTCCCATATTATGCTAAAATAGCTTATGTAATATGTATTTTGTTGATCTGCCCAACTTCTAACAAATGTAAAATTGATATGAACAAATATATAAATCATGTTACCCACCATACCATATGGATAAGAGACAGTCCGCATTGCACTGGAATGAAAAAGAAAGGCAAAAAAGAACCTACCAAATTATGGTCTCCAAACTGAAGCCTGACAAATAACTAAGGATAGCATGGAATGGGTGACATCGGGAAGATAAATGTATCCGAGTGATCTTAAGCAAATGCCAAAATCTAAATTGCTAACAACAAAGGTGAAATTCTCCAGATGTGAAGAAGACAAAATGGAGATAATTAACATTGTAGAAATTTTGTCTTAAAATAGACAAAATGAGAGGTTGAATAAGAATCTTATAGGTTTTGCATTTAGAGCTCGCTGGATGTGCTTTTTTTTTTTAAGAAAAAAAAAATTAAAAAGTACTTTTCACAATTTTTAGCATGTTCCGATTATTCTATAAAGTAAATAAGATGTAAAAAAATGTATTCTCCTTGATAAAATTGATGGAATGCTAAGACATTGTCATAATGCTGAAGCACAATCAGTGAAAGGACAAAGTGATTGACTCCTTTTTCTGTCATCCAATATGTTGCTTGAAATTTACTACATGGAGATAGGCTCAACTTAGAGATAAATATTCATGAATAATTGTATACAGATTCATTCACATATATACTAGTCAGTAACAAGTGGTGTTATATATTGCTCCAAGCATAATATTCCAATTTTAAAAGCATGCATAAATCAAAACTAAAGTAATGAACAGTGCCAACACAGGTGAAGGGAGTCTGAAGGAACTTACTTTATTCTCACATAACTTGCAGGAATCTGGGGCAATGGTGCATCTCCATCCCTGAAGCATTAGTCTGAAATTAGTCCATAAAAAAATATCCTAAAACGGATTTATGAACATATATAATATGAACAGGATTTCAAGATATAAGTTATCAAATGAAGTTTCAAAGATATGAAATCTCACTGGTTTTCAGAAGCTACTAAGGAGAACCAAATTGGACCAGTCCTTAAGAGCTTGTTGCTGGTAGAATCCAGCACAGCTTGGGGTGATATGCCTGATTCTCCAAAAGCAGGCTCCTTTTTCCTGCGTACTCTGCGCAATTTATTGGGTTTTACTGTATCTGAAGAGACAGAATAAGGGCTAATCTTTTCATCCTCAACTTTTGCCTTGCGTTTATTTTCCTTATTTTTGGTTTTCTGCACTTGAGAGTCACTCTCATTTACTTGAATGGATTCTAGTTTAGCATCAGACCCTTGCACATTAGACTTGAAAGATTTACTCCTACTTGCGACCTCTACTAAACAATTCAAAGGTTTCCAAAGATCCAATTTTGCATCCCATGGTTCAGCACCATTCTCTTCTTTATTGGGTATGGATTGACTACCCTCACAAGGGGTCACACTCTGCACCAAGGAAAAACTGGAGGATAAGAATATAAGTAAACTAATGCCAATACAATCTGGGAAATCAAATGAACCAAGATAACAAATGAACAAAACAAGGAAACTGAGAATGAGCTCAAAGAAAAGAGCCAGATTATCTCTCCTACTACCTGTCCAGTATTCTGAGCAAACTTATTTGAAGTGTCAGGTGAGCTTGAACTCTCAGGATGATCTTCCAGTAATTCTTCCTCTTTTTTAATAGGCTTTTCAATGGAAAAACTAGAGGTCCGCAGACTGCTAGCCTTTCTTGTAGGTTTTGTTCTTCTTCCTGTCATGGTTGCCTGTGTAGATACCCTCGGAGTGCTGACCACCAAAGATGAAAGAGATCTCTCCTTTCTTCTAGCTGGTAATGGTAATGAGGCGACAACTTCAGGCGCCTTCACCTTTCTTCCCTTTAAGGGGAAAACTTTGGCCCTTACATCTTGCAAACTGTGGTCTGGCCTGGTAATCAGAAAACAAGGTCTGTAACTTAGCATGCTACAATTCAAAAGAGAATACCACTATCATCAGCTGTGATTTCGTTTTGTTTTATTTATTTTTTAAATAATACTTCTATGCGTGCTTCATTACCAAAGGTTTATATAAGGAATGGTGCTACAGATAATTCATTCAAAGAAAAGTTTCTTCTCTTTTATCAGTCTTCCTGATCTAATTCTTTTAATAGAGATCAAAATAATTCTTTTTCTTTCCCCATCCAGAATACTTATCAATTGAATGATCATAACCCCTATTCTTAGATCCAAGTTCAGCACTATTTATTCTTTAAGTCCCACATTTTTTCCTGTCTTTTATGATCAAGATCCTTTGCTAATAGGATAATTCATCAATTTTGGGGAAGGACTGCAAACAATAATAACATCATTTGGAAAATAATTAAATGAATTTTTAAAATTTAAACATTCTCAACTAAAACAGATCCTAAACCCCATCTTATCGGTGTCAACTATCTCAGTCATTTCATCTATTAATTGTACTAAGACCATATTTACCCTGTTCCTCCTTATTCTGTTTCCAACTAAAACTTCAAATGAAAATTTATTAAATGCAATTAGCTGACAATAAAACATAATTGTCACAATTTACTGTTTAATTTTTTATTTCACATGTCTTAAACACTTTACATTTATTATGCTATATATTATTAGACATGAAATGTCTGTCAGGAAAACTGATGAAAATAAAAATACCAGCATTACTATATATAAATCATCAACTAAATTATGAAAAGATGTCAAACTGGAGGCATTTTATTTCCGTGTATACTATAATTCACATGCGGGGAGTGGATCCTTCTTAAGTTAGTTTTCATAAAGCAACAAAATTGATATAATGTTATCTTGATAGCACCATCATAGCATTACAACTACCCTCATTCTTGCAGGTCATTGCAGCCGTTTACCACCTCAGAAGAAGATCTGGTTACAGTATGATTTATGACAGCTATTTGTTTCCTTTTTCTTCTCCCAAGGGAATGTTTCAATAAACGTTAAAAGACAACATTATTCAACAGCTCTATAGAGCATGTCTAGACACATCAAAAATATAATTCTTTTTTTAAAGAAAGGTTCCATCATTTATGATTGTATCTCCATTTTAGCAGCCTCGTAACAATAATTAGGTGGGTTGCAAAAAATGTACTCTTATTGGCACAGCATACCATGTTAAAGCAACACCTTTCATGCATATTCAACAACTTAAACTATAATAGAGAGACTTTTTTTTGTTTTTTTTAGAGGAAGAAGTACAGGAGGACAAGCGTAACTTGGGAATAGAACCAAGGCAGGGGGTTGACCTTAGTTTCTCGAGTGGAACACAACCCAAATCAATGTTGCACATTGGACAGCATTCTAATTCCTCATCTGTAATTTTATCATAAATGCACTTCCTGCAAACTGAATAAAGTTCATAGAAAAAGAAAAATCCATTAGTTGGGGCTCACAACAGCCTTTTCCTTAGCGCTTCTGCTAGTGAAGCATATGCTAAAAAAAGTGCACGCAAAATTAGACCAGGAATTAACTTCAAATGACAAATAACAAAAACCGAGAGAACTATAATGTGAGAAACAGCATAGTAATAATGTTGTGCTCGCTGCCACACAGTAGTGTTACATGCGGTAAGACTAGGATTGAAACAATTTTACTAAATAAATAGTCGTAGTTGACCAATGTCACAAGTGCAGCACAAGTGCACAACAAAACTCCTGAATAGTTGACCAATCCAAACTACCTAGCATTCACGTCCTCGATGGGTTTAGAGAGAGAGAGAAATAAAAGGAAGTATTTTTAGAAGCATCAAATTACGAAATAACCATATCTCTCTCTGGTTACGCAAAAGACCAGATGCCCCAAAAGAAGAGGCAAACCCCACATGGAGAATTCAAAAACTGGGATGACCAGGAACGCAAAATGAGAGAAAAGATCCAAAATTTGAGAAATTTGGACATGGGATTGGGCGAAAAGAAACAAGATTTCAAGGGAGATCGAAGGGCTCACACGTGTGAAGACATTCGGATATAGTGGTGGCTTCCCTGAACAACTTGTTGCAGAGTGGGCAAGTCATGCATGCTTCAATCGTGTCTCTCTTCACTTTGACCACTTGATTCGACATGTTCACCGATGCCAAGCCTCAGTTCCTCGTCTTTAACTCTCACTCACCACGTATCCACCCTGACTCGGTGCATGCTATTGGTATCAGCACGAGTGCACGACCAAAATTTACGTCCATTTCGTTACAATCATCCCCTGCATTAAGCTGAAAAAACACGGAGAAGCAAAGAGATTGCGTGAGAAAAGGAACAAGAAAACATAGAATATAAACAAAAGAAGAAAAAGAAGTATGTACATACAGAATGGACCTATAGGTAGCTAGAACGATCGGGGAAGATGGCTAAAGACGGGTGCTTGATAATTTTGGGGTGTGAATAGGAAATGGGTCGGTGTGATTTGAGAAGATTTGACGTGGGTTGTGATGGATTTGGCAGAGGGAGTTTGTCTTGTGTTGTGGATGATCTGAATCGAGAGGACCTCTTCGTCGAAAAGAGCATGAACCAAAACCAAGTGTTTCTCTCTTTCTTTTATGTCTTCTTTTTTCATATATATAATTTTTTTTTTTCGGTAGATATATATAATTTTATTCTCTCTCTTTTCTTTTTGTTTTTTGTTTTTTCGGGGTTTACGATTTAAACAACATATTTTAAGGACATATGTTACACACTTCAACCAACGACAGCTATAGAAGTTAGGAGCTTTGCTAAGATGCGCCGAGGTTAAGATGCGCGGTGCTGGGCGGCGTGTCATGCGAGAGGCTCCATGATAAGGTGATAGGGCCTAAGACCTAAGTCCTAGTTAATACGGCGAGTGCCATGGAAGGAATGTGGTGGACCTAAACATATTAGCTTTGAAAGATTACCTACCAAAATTTAAAATAAAGGCTAAAGACTTGGGGTAAAATGTTTTGCTGGGTTTGATAAAATCGAATCAATCATGCACGCAAATCACATTCTTTTTTTTTTAATTAACAAAATATTTTAAATTGATTATGGCTAGTAATATACTCTTTAATATTTTCTTTTATTAAATAAAATCTTGTGTTACTTGATTAAATAACATAGAGTTGCTCTTTATTAATGGAGTCAACATGAAATTTCATTAAAGAATAAAAGATATTATTGTGAGATCAATATGAGATTTTATCAAATAATAAACAGAATGTAAAATAATATGGTGGTTGCTATTTTTTTTATTTTGGATTTTAAGGAAGGGTTCGCTTTTTCTGCAGTTACCTTGCAGATAAGTTATCTACAATAAGCCTAATACGACGTCGTTTTGGGACGGAAATCATGATGTTTTTGTAATTTTAATTTATTTCAGGGTTATAATAGTCTTTATATTTATAACTTTTTAAGATTTCAATACCAAAACGACGTCATTTTAGGAATAAATGCAGATAACCTATCTGCATTAAATTCAGAAACATTTCCCCTTTAAGGAATAAATACTTATTATATTCACACGTCTTACACTCAACTGCAAAACTTTATCAGGTGAGCTAATTTGCGCGATAGTCATTGCTGCCATATTAATTGATAAATATATAACAAGTTGTATAACAAAAATAAACAATTCTAGTCGCGTGAACTTAGTCAAATAGTTGACATGAATCAAAATACGAGTAAAATCGTAGGTTAAAATTACGAAATGGTTTTTGAATTTACAAAATCAGATACACAATTCTCATGTAACTCTATTAAGTTCGTAACTTAGTACTGTTCGAGGTATAAATAAATCATATAATAATTTGCATTAATTGCGTTCTTTTGTAGCACAATTTCTTATTTAATTATGTAAATTCTTATTTATAACGGTACCTAATTAATCACGAAAATTAGACCATTAACTATTTGTAAGAAATGTCAAATCTGTATTCGAATGTCATTTGCTTTACATCGAAGTTTGGGTTACGGGTAGAATGATCCTCCTCATCCTAATCCAGCAAATAGAAGGGAAAAAAAAAAAAAAAAAAGGTTTAGGTGGTTCAGTTGAGGACTTCACATCAAAGTCAAAAAGAAACTTCAATCGGCTTTGTGGAAAAAATGGGAGTATGAGAGTAACATGTGATATTAGTGTTTTGTTTCTTAACTGCAAAAGGGGTCCCTCATCAGTCCTCTCAGTGTGTCGTGTTCAGACTTATGCGCAACTCAAGTAATTGAGACTCATGCCTTGTGAAAACCATCTAGAGGTCAATACCCCTCATAAGTAAAGAGAAAGATTTATGAATTCGAAGCAATCGATTTCTATGTACTAGCATTTAGCACTGACAAATCTACTCTTAAATTAATGTTTCATTGTTTGCTAATATGACATGATGACTGGAAATAAATGCTATGAATAATTACATCCGTCTCAATTATTTTCTCCCAGCCCGAAATGCTGAAATTGTCGGGGAACAATAATAATATGATTATGGTAATTGATATCCGCATGCGCATGCATAATTGATTAGCGTCCTAAGAAGATGGAATTATGTACTAAAGAAAAGGAATTGACCCATGATAGATTTGACGAAAATAACTGAAATTTTTTAATAACAAAGAAAGTGTAGATACAGGATAATGGTAGACAAAAATGCAAATAAAATAGTTTATATCTGACTTCAGAATCAAATCTTCTTTTCCCTTAAATAAAAAAGGTAGAAAACTAAAATGGGATTTTACAATTATTCTTTTTCTTTTAAAAAAAAAATTATTCAGTGCATAAAACTTGCCAACTAAGAGCCATTCTATATGAAAACGAAACTATTACGCGCATAACATTTTGGTGCCATACATCCCAATTGAACATGGATTTCCACTTTCCGCCGTTGGCTTAATCTGATGTCGCCCAACATGCATCTTTATAAGCATTTCAAGACCCCACAAGACCTTTGCGTCGTGCATAAGATATTATGGATAAAAACAAAGATGCACAAGCAATTCCCGAAAAGATCACCACCTAAAGTTATAAATTTGAACTGAAAAAATCAGTAAGAGCTACATATTCTCTCTTTCTCTCGCACACACATATATGGCAAAACAAGTTGGTCAGAAGATTTGAAAATATTTTTAATATTTTTGCTAGGGATGTAGACATACCCATTTAAATATATATCCGTGACCTTCTCTCCATGTATATGGAATGTTCATACCAAATATTGCAGCCACCAACGAATATATGGACAGACAGACAGTCCCAGAACTAAGGAAGAGTTCTAACTGTCATGTAGAAGAAGGAGAAACAATAACAGTAGTATTTAAACACAAATTATGGCTTTGTCAAAAAATGTTTCAAAAAGTGTCGTAGGAGTATGCATAGAAAACCTCAGAAGGGAAAAACTAAGACCTTGAAAGCTTTATACCTGAATTAGTTGATTTCGGTGATTGTCAAGCTGCATACATACGCGTGACATATTACGAAGTGTGATTAATTATGCTATAAACGGTGTGTGCAAATTATGTTCAGAGACTATTAATTTAATTGGAAAATACTAGTCTCATGTTCTAGAAGACTAGTATCTCATGTCATAGACACAAAGTAAGAGTGTTCATCAACCGATTCAAACAGCTGTACCCAAACCGAAAACCGAAAAATCGAAAAATTAAAAATCGAAAAAAAATTCGCAAAATTTAATTGGATTGGTTGGTGAAAACCGATCCAACGATTCCCAAACCTTACCATCTACCTACTTCGGTCTTTCTCCAATCATAGCCCAAAAACCATATAGCAAAATTCTAAATCCAAGACCCATTAACCCATCATGTTGGAGAAAGTGGATTGTGTTTGATCTATGTTATGCTTTTTTTTTTGTAAGATACATAATATATTTTTATTATATTATTGTTGTACAACAGCTCCTCTATAAGATCGAAATTTGGGTTACTTCGTATATCAGACAACCATATTATAATTTCTTGGTTGGAGGTAAAAGATGGTAATTTAACTTTTTATTGTACAATGCTTCTACATTGCACAATAATTATCATACAAACTTTATAAAACAAATACATACAAAAGATATGTTATTTGCATAATAATCATCATACAAATGTTAGACTTTTCAGAAAATCGAAAACCGATTCAATCCAAACCGAATAAAATTGGATTGGATCGAATCGGATTTGAAAAAAATTCCAAACTGAATGGATGATTACATGATTGAACTGAAAGAATTGAATCGAATAATTTTTACTTCTAAAACCGATCCAATCCAAACCGCGAACACCCCTAATACAAAGCATGTGGGATCCACTCTTTTTAAAAAAAGAATGAGTGGGCCTCATATTGTTTGTGTCCATGACACGAGACACTAATCTCCAATAACATGAGACTAATATTCCCCCAATTTATAAAGGAAAACTTTTGACCCCTCTATTCTGATAGTTAAAATCTACAAAACAATGAATTATATTTTGTGCATAAAATTCACCTGTATGTTGATGTAATCTTCTGTGTCATCAATATATTCTCGCAACTGAAACGGAGGAAAGCATCAAATAGCAAAGTTTGTGTTTATAAGAAATCAAATTATAATTATAAGTAGGAAGAATTAAAAGAAAATGCGCAGTTCATACTGTGGTCAATTTATTTAGTGTGCCATCAATTTGCGTGAAATAGGCCTGCAAACCACAACACTATTCAGTTTAATGCACCATAGGTCAATTCATCTAAACCAAAATTATCTATGGCAAAATTAAAGATAAGGACTTTTATAACCTCAAGTAACATTTCGAGCTCCTCAACATCATTCTCCCCTTGAACAGTTGTTGCACTTGCTTTGCTTGATCTCTGTATCTTTGAACCTAGATTGGGAGAGCTATAAAGGCAGTTGGGAGCATTATAGCTACTTGCGGGAGAGGATGAAACAGTCAACTTTCTTGATAAGTAAAGATCAGCCATGTCACCATCATCATCAAGTAGGTTCTCTAGTTCATCTCTTATCTACAAACAAGCAAGTAAAGTAAGTGCAAACAGAAAAATTCTTGGTTCTAATATGATAAGGAAAGGGAAAATCAGTGAGATCGAGGTAACTACTGCTTAGGTATGTAAGTAATGAAGACAGCAACATAGCATTCTTCTTTTGGAACGCACTTATATAATAAAGAGCACGTAAAGCAAAGGAAAAATGAAAATTCACTTATTAAGAGGGAAGGGAATGAAAAATGTGTTACAAAATCTTATTGTTATTTCAACATACCTTTTGAACTCGATTTGTTAACCTCGTCATTGCACTTTTCAGTTTTCGCACTCTATCCAAATTACGACTGCTGATCTGGACACAAATGCCATCCAGAGTAGTGTGGAAGGGGGAGAGGATGAGAAAGTATCATAATTTTGTGACAACATATAATGTGAAATCAAACATTAATTAATAAAATCCATGTTTTATATCACAGATTTGGATATGGATATATGCTCAATCTAGTTCTTAAGAGCAGAAATTAACAACAGGTTTATATAGTCCTGATGAAATTTGTGCAGCCTATCAGATAGATTATGACCAAGTTCTGCCATCCTAACCATTTGGGTAAATGCAAATTTAGTAGACAGTGTTCTTGTACAAGGTGAAAAATCTATGAAAGAAAACACACACCGCCACACGCACACAATCCTTATCCAAAGGCTTTTTTACCTTAGAGGTGAGTTCATCCAAAGCTGGGTAAGTAGCAGTCTCTAACTCTCTTGTCCGTGCATCAAGGAAACTACAAATTGCTTCTAATACAACTTCTAAGGCCCGAAGCTCAAATGGAAATTCTACGAGCGACAAGTCAGTTTCCCATTATTGCAACAGAAAGAAAGACACCCCAGAAACAACATAACAATGTTTGATTATACTAAAATTTAAATCTTTTCCAAATCAATATTTTTTCACAAACCGCACAATTTTCTTCCCCACCTTCACCGTCTTGAGCACACGCCTCTTCTTCTCCTAATTGGCCTTGTCCAGCAGCAGTTTCTCTTGGTAACCGTCGTCGAAGCTCCTCAACAATAGGCACAACGTCATCATCCATTGGATCTCTTAACAACACCTACACCAAGAACAAACCGCACGTGCACTCGTGCATCAAGCTCTTAAAGAAGAAAGACATCGAATATATAAGACATATCAAAATCAAACGTACCTCATCCGCTGTGATAATAGCTTTAATGTGCTGCAAAAAAGAACTCAAAAGCAACCAAAATAAGACAAACACAAATACGAAATAAAAGTAAAAACAAAAACAAAAAATACAAAACAGAGCGTTTGCCTCTAAATTGAGAACAATGACTTTCTCTCTGCCGAGAATGGTGGAAGGATATGATAGGAGAGGGTCCAAAATTCGAAGATCTCTTGCGTGAATTTCAACCAGGCGCATAATAGCATACTTGTCCACATCCAATATAGTTCCTCTACCATCATGGTCGAGCAAAATCCAGCTTCTTGAAACAGCAGTTTTCTTCTTTATAGAAGAAGAAGATTGAAGCTCCACTACAGACCCAGCAAGAGCCATTTTTCAGGATTAACCGCTAACCCATTTACATAGAACCGTGAACTGGGTAAGCAGAGGAAGATAAGAGTGTCAAAAACGAAACTTGTGAATTGGGTAGTCCTTGAATTCAGTGTTTGACAACTGGATTTGGACTGAGTAGAGAAGGAGGGTTTTGCAAAAGAGGATGAGGTGGAAGAGAAGAGAATAATGGCATTTGGAGGAATTACAGAGCAATGAAAGATATTTGCATGAATTGATTTGGTGACAGGAAGTGGGGTTGTGAGTGGCAGGTTGAGGTTAAAGATAAAAAATAAAAAAGACACAATAATGCTTAACACGGAGGGTTTCAAATTAGAATGAACAGGATACGTTAATTAAAAAAGGGAAGCATTGGTTGCACACTTTCTTCTTTAGGTACTTTTTGAATCTCAATATATATCAAGAGGCTCAATTTAATTAAAAAAGAGGCTCATTTTAATTAAAAAACGGTGATTATTTTTTAGGGAATAATATAGGTCATTTTTAAATTTTAGAGGACCACGATTTTAACTAATTGAGTCTATTTTAAATTTCAGAAGAGCTCAAATCAATATTTTTTTTCTCTGAGAAATTAAAATGAACCCCATAATTTTTGTTTAGTACCAAAAAAATTGACCAATTAAAATGGGCACGTGATTTTTCTTCTTATATTTACATCAAATTTAGGGAGTGTATTGGATTAGGATTTTAAAATATTTTCTTAAGATAAATTTTTTTTATATTTTAAAAGACTATTTGGAATTGGAGTGACCTTAAAAACTTTTTCAAAAGACTTTTTTACAATAAAGATTTCATAATATTTGATTTTAAAATATTTTAATAGAATTTATAAGATTTGAAAGGACAAGATGAATTTATAAGATTTTAAAAAATCATATAAAATTTTATCAAACATTCTAAATCACAAATGTCAATAAAAAAATAACAAAGAGTTTACCGAAAAAAACAAACAAAGAAATGCAATGATATTAATAAAAAAAGTAAAATCTAATATAATTTTCTCAATCAGTAAAACATAATATAATTTTTAACAAGGGAAAAGTATTTCTCCAGTCACAGGAGATAAAATTATCTCCAGCGAGCTCAAAACGACATTATTTTGAGTTATGAGATTAAAAAATGATAATAATAAAGACTAATATAACCCTGCAATAAATTAGAATTACAAACATCATTTTCGTCCCAAAACAACGTCATTTTGGGCTCACCGGAGATAATTTATCTCAATTGACTGGAGAAAACATTTACCCTTTTAACAAACATTCAAATTTACTAGGCAACAGCTCTTCACATATCTAAAGTTATATTAGTCTTCACGCATTAGAATTTTCTCGTTAGTGCTCTTGGGTTTGAGCAATGGGTTGAAAATTATCTTCTTCATTTGGTATCAGAGCTATGCATATATAGTTATAAGACCCAATTTTTTTTATTTGTTAAAATAATTCTAAATTTGCATATAGAATTTAAAATTCCTGATAAAATTTTGTTTGAAATTTTTTCCAATTGATCTTGGAAACCTTGTGGTTTTTGTTCTACGTGATGAGAGTTTTCTAACCATATATCATATGCATGTTTTCATTGAGTATTCTAAGAAAATTTCGAATTTGAATTTCTGGATTTTATTACATGAAATTTAGAAAATTTCTCAAATTATTTTAAATCGATACATTGAAACCTTAAATTGCTTTGGAGCTTTTAAAAAATAAGTTTTTCGTTATCTATTGACGCAAAAATTATTTGAAATCATTTCCTATAGCGAAAGAATTTAGTTCACAAATGTATTATTACGAAATATAAATCTCATATTATGAAAGTTTTAATCTTTCTTTAAATTAGTATTGTTTCATTGATATAAAAAGAAAATTGGTTTGAGGATTTTAATTCCTTTGTTGTTTTTTCACTGTTTTATGTTTTTTGTTTTTTTTGATAACATGTTTTATGTTATTTTTAAGGGTTCGCTTTTTCTGCAGTTACTACAGATAAGTTATCTGCAGTAAACCCAATACGACGTCATTTTGGGACGAAAATCATGGTGTTTTTGTAATTTTAATTTATTTCAGGGTTATAATAGGCTTTATATTTATAAGTTTTTAAGATTTCAATACCAAAACGATGTCATTTTGAGAATAAATACAGATAAATTATTTGCATAAACATTTTTCCCTATTTTTAATACAAAAAAACACACATTTTTGTGTCAAGAAAAATCGTGACCCATAGCTTGAAAAATTATTTTTTAATTATCCAAAAGCCCTAAAAAATTGCTCAAAATATGCTGTTTTTGAGATTGATTATATTATACTTTTGTTGGTGTGTTGTTTTTGAGTTGTTTTGTTATGAAAATCGCTTAAAAATCTGCTTCCTTTAGCTTTGACGAAGCTCCCATGGTGGAATTCGATTTCGAGCGGGTCAACGCGCCAAAAGAAGAAGAAGACACTGCAGTAGAGAAATCTGAAGAAATCCTAGGTGTTAGGGTGAGATTGTAAGAGAGACATCTCATTTATATTTTTCACTAAAAAGTCTCAATTTATTAAAATCGTTAGATTTTTGAATACCACAAGATTATTTTTTTCTTTGTTTAAAATTCAGATTGAATACTAACGGATTTGAACAAACTCTGAAATAATTTTTTAAAATCTTAATCGAATACCACAATACTTTTTTCAATCCTTTAAATCCTAATTGAATATCATTGAATTTTGTTTTTCAAAAATAATCTATTAAAATATCAATGCAATACACCCCTTTAATTTCGCCTCAGCTTAAGGAATGGTCGGGGTTTTTTATTATTAAAAAAATGTCCAAACATGATTTTGTTGATACTAATACGTTAAAAATCTGATTCATCCCAGATATTTTTTATTTTTATATCTCATTCACTGTGCTAGATTCCTAGTACTCGAGTCACCTGTGAAATATCTAAACTTTTTTTAAAATTACGAGGGATTAAATTGGCCATAAAGAAGTTTTAAGAACACGACTGACGAGGCATATTATTAGTTTATTTACAAAAGGTTTAGTGAGTTGCACTTTATTATAAATTTATAAGTTGAATTAACAACGGAGAAGGATATGTTTACAAATTTTTTTGAATTTTTTGTACAAATTACACTATGTTTTCTTGGGAGAACATAGTGAAACTAGTATTCTTCGGAAGAACATAATGTAGTTTGTAAATAAAAAAAGTTTGTAAATATAACCTGTCCCATTAACAATAGTGCAATTTATATTTGACATTATATGAATTAAAAATAATATAAATTAAAAATGTTTTAAAAAATTATAAATGAAATGTGTACAATTATTTATATTATTATCTAAGAGATAGCATATTAACAAATTTAACCACTCTCAAAAGAATGAATTCTAATTTAATATAAAAATATAAATTATATTATTATTCTAATTCATGAAAGTACATATTTAAATTTTTGTTTGATTTGATTAAATGTGAAATACATATGAAATATGATTTTCTTTAAGCGGAAAGAGACTTTAAATCAGAAATAAGGGGAAATAGTGAATTTTGGAAAATCTACTAACTAAATTTCCAAATCATGACTCTAGCCATACTTTACTAGATTATCTGCAACCTTATTATAGGAGCGAGGTCGAAAACCATAATTAAAAGCTTACAATCATGAAGTTGATGTAACAATGTGTATCTCTTTTGCCCACATTGTGAAATAAATGGAATCTAATTGAAGTTAGTGAACATTTATCAAGAAATAGAAAAATACAAAATTTTGAAAGAGAATACATTCCTGATAAATAATACTACTATTATGTGACCAGTCAGTATCAATCTCCTCAATAGCCGTATAAATCCAATAAACATCCCCAAGCAAAATTTTCACCTCTTGAATCTTCTCAACAAAATTTTCATTTTGTTCCTTAGAAACCTGAACATGATTTTATTTTTTTTATTTTTTTTGCCACGTTACCAAAAAGCTGACATGTCCAAAATTTAAGTTGTTGGCTAACACCGTGGCAATTTGAGAAGCAACAGCCAAATTAAGGAGAAAGGTCAGAATAGCACTGGACCAGCAATTTCGAGATTAGTCTCTCTTTTTCTTGTTCATTCATAGCTGAAGTCACAGCATGCGAAAGACAACTAGTCTATGAAAATGTCATTTTCTTTTACGTGGAAAAAAATTTATTCGTTTTGAGACTCCGTCACGGCTTTTCTCGGTTTTGAAATACTATTATGTCCACACCACAAGTTAAAATGGCTTTAAGCATTACAATGGGCCGTTTTCTGGTAACGTTAATAATGTTGTTCATCCAAAATAACTAGTATAGGTAGTGATGAATTTAAACAAGATTATAAAAAAGGGGAAATATTTAGTAAAAACTAAGCAATTAATTACACTCGACCCAATGAAGTGTGCGCTTATTATGCATGATATTCTTATTGATTTAACACGACACCAATCTCCCTTACTTCAGATGCTACTATTTACGGTTTGATTAATGGATTAAAATTCTTTATATTGTATCACAAATCACAATTAACCTAAAAAAAAGGCACAAAAGGGATAACCCCTTCTTCTTTTTATACTCGAGCTACATATTTTTGCTTTAATCCCTTCTTCGCATACGTTCCTTAATCCCCAGTTTAAAACAACTACAGGGGTGCTAGCCCGAGGACCATGTTAAGCACCCAAAGTTGAAATTCCTGACACAATATTTTTTATTTTTTTCCCCATCGTTTTTTTCCTATACCTTCTCTGAGACGGAAACCGAGAGTCATAAAATTAGAAACCAAACATTATTTGAAGCAAGTAAATTGACAAATACGTCATTTCATTCAAAGAAAGAACCCCTTATGTCATGTGTATGGCATGTGATCACTATTTTGTCTCTGTTCTAAAATTGATGTTTGTTAATGGAGACAACTGCACCAGTATACAACACATAAAGTAAGAAAGGGCAGTGTCGTGTCTAAAATAAAAAGGGTGCCATTTGTAATTAGTAAGTGCTAAAATTATTATAGGTGACAGTAATTTTCTCTAAAGTAATAACTATTTACAGACATTTTAAACTTCTACTACAAAAGCGGTTGTCCTCCTAGATGATTAACGTAGTGAGGATAACATAATACAACCCAGCAATTCAAACACTATTTGCCCATTAATTGAATCAAGCCCATTAACTGCAA